CCTATGAATCATGTACCCATTTTGACCTTATCTTAGTGTACCATGTGAGTTGTTGGTCTATGCCTAGTTTCTGAAGCAGAGAGAAGGAATCTGGGGGTATTTTAGAGCCTGCTCAATCAGCTGGCTCAAGAGACTATTAAATGTTCAGTGTGACCATTTACTTCCAGAACTCTGCAGACAGTACACATTGGGTTTGATTTGTTATTTTGTCAGCTGTCTAGACTTAAGAAAGTTTGGCAATGCAGCTCGTACTTTACAAAGTGGGCCATGCAAATACCCCTAGAACTATACAAACAAGGATATGTTAGGGGTGAGGGTAATGAAGTATACTATGGCCAAGATTCATGTTTGCTTGAAGAGTCGCTATCTATGGCTTCTGTCTTAAAATAGCTGAAGGGCAGTCTTTTGGGAAGAAATAGATTTACCTGATCTAGTGAGCAAAACTTGCTCCATAGGTAGAAAGTATAGGGAGGGGAGTTCTGATTCAATCCAGGTAAGAACTATCTAGGCATTAATGCTGTCCAAAAACAAAAGAGGACCTCTGGTGAAACAAGGGTTTCTCTGTCTCTAGAAGCTTTCAAGTTGAGGCTAAATGATGTTAGTGATGTTATAGAGTTGATTCCTTTATAGGGTAAGAATTTTGATTGAATCACCTCTAAGATCCCTTTTAGCTTTGAATCTATGATATACCTTGTATTTATCTTGCATATATTGTATATTTCTTTCATGAAGGTGGCTAAAGCAGGCTCTATGAAGTGCTTAGAGCTTGGTCAGGCATTGAAGACTAAGATCATCCACTGCATCCTGGGCCATTGCCAGTTGGCTTCACTTTTGTCCTGCAACTGGACTTCTGTGACTCAGGAAGAGAGAGTGAAGCTGACAACTTTGCACAACTCTACCTCACTTAACTCTAATTCATGTGCAAGTCAAGACATCACCTGTGAGGTAATCGGTCCTCTTTGAAAATGAAGGATGAACAACAATTTTATATATCCCTATATATGTATATGTTATCTCTCCAATAGAAGCAAGGACTGTCTCATTGTTGTCTCTCTAACCTTAGCACCTAGCACATTGCCTGGCACATGGTAGGCACTTTATAAATGATTGTTGATTGAATGATTAACTATAGAATAATGGAAAATGATCTTATAGATACATTCTACCTGTGAAATTAGAAAGCAGCTACTTATATCCTGAAGGCAGAACACTACAGTCAGAATTATACATGAGCGTAACTACTTGCTGAAAGAAGATGAAAAAAAAAATTAAAGGCAAGGATTTTAGGCAGTAACACCCCCACTTTTAATAGCATTTCTCTCTTAGGGCATATTTTTCCTCCAGTACCTCAGTTCCTTATCAAATACACACTTTCACCTTGCCAGTCATTTGAATTGGAGTTAGTCCGTGGAAATAATTTTTGTACCAATAAATTTTGTTCTATTATAAAACAGCTGGTTACCTTCCTATTATTCCACAAACTGGCATGATGATTTACTATAAATACCAAAAAAGGGAACATTCCATTTATGCTAGATACTAGAAAAATTCATTTAATATCAAAGAGTCATTCCAGAGACAACTATTAGAATCACTACAAATTACTGCATAAATGTTTTTACCCTTAGAAGTTACTGGATAAATTGAACAACTTTTTAAGGGAAAATGTGCCTTCACTTCACAAATATATCCAAGTTTCCAAGTAATACATTCCAACATTGTCATACACTCCATTAAAAGAAGACTAAAAGAAAGGACAATGAATAGAGGGAATGAATAAGTGATAGATATTCACAACAGGTAAAGTTTAATCTCGCACTTGTGAATATGACAGTCAAGCATCTCCAATCTCTTGCTGTCTAATTTACTTTAAAAGAAGTAGAAAAGACCTGCCTCCTAGTTTTGTTTTTTTGGTGAGGCAATTGGGGTTACATGACTTGCCTAGGGTCACATAGCTAGGAAGTATCATGTGTCTGAGGCTGGATTTGAACTCAGATCCTCCTGACTCCAGGGCTGGTGCTCCATCCACTGTGCCATCTAGCTGCCCTGAGTTTCTACCTTTTTGCCATTAAATCACTGAGAAATCTATGCTCCCACTGGCTTTCACGTTTTTTTCCCTAAAAAAAAAGTTTTAAAATTTCAAATGCTCTACTCAAATTATCTCTAATAAGCAAACTCTGTCAATTACTCTGGCTCTCATTTTGAGAAATTTATAAATCACTGCTTTTTTTTCAGACTTGAAGTTGAATTATACTATTCTCTGGGTTGTTTGAATGGCAGCAAATTATTCTCAGGATTTGGTCTACTACAAATTTCTCCAAGAGGCTTAAAAAATAACACACGAAAGTTGTCTCCAATTTCTCTTATTTCTCTCTATATCATTCATCTATTCTCTTAGGCTGTTTCTCCACATATTGACACAGTTTCATGAACTATTCTGACTAACTTTGAGGTAGGGCAGGCAAGCTTGTTTGCTTGTTTTCTTAATTTATGTTGCTTATCCCAAGTGTAGCATGTGGTATTTGCCCCTGGCAAGATTCCATTTATGGCTCTAGCTGTTAGTAAGATCAATCACTAGCTTTATATTGAGTTTGTAGAGTTTTTTTTATGTATAGTTGGAGGCAAACAACCTGCCCAGCAGATATTCTGCAGCCACAGAGAGCACTGTGAGAATCCAAGGAGAAAATACTTTGGGTCCCTGTAGTGCTAGAAGTATGAATTGCCTTGGCCACATGTGTTCCTCATATCTGTGCCTCTGTACTAGTGTTCCTGTGTACTCATTCTTCCGAATAACATTATGTGTGTTTCTGGAAGAATACAGAATACAATCCAAGTTTATTGGGAGAAGGGTGAAAGAGCATATTATAGCTATTGTTCTTATGATGCAATCTCAATTATTACCTTTATTTTGAGCTAAATGTGCCCTTTGACTATGGAAGGGAAATGAATCTGTGGGGACTCGTGAAGTATATTTAGGAGTATAAACTCACAGAATTCTTGGCATAGTCATAACCCCAGAGGACCCAAGCCTTGAGTGAGACTTGGAAGGGTGGTCCAGAGGGGCCCCTACATATGAATAAACATATAGTTGTGCAGCATTAAATAGGGGATAAAATATAAAGCAATTTCATTTTGTTGGAGCTGTTAGTGTGTCTAGGTATTATTGATGCAAACTGGAAACTACTGATTATTTTTCTTCATTCACATGACTCACATTGGATTAATAGTTGACATTTTGAAAGTAGAACTTCACATATGGCACAAGTTAAAGTATTCATGCTCTGAATTTTATGACCTCATTAAAGGAAATAAAGACCTCCTCAAAGCTGTAATGCCAAACTCAAAGTATAATTTTTAAAAATTATTTGCTCTTGTTTGTGCATGCTTTACAGTTGTTTTTTCCTTTATGACTAAATGATCATTTGGAATTTCTTTAATTATTCTACATACATAGATTACTTAATAAGAAAAACTGTTTTTGACAAGTTCTGCCATATCTTGGAAATGAGCTCATTGTCCAATTCTGAAAATAATTAGTTTTCATGCTTTAAGACAATTTTATGGATTATCTTTATTATTTAGTGAGAAACATAGTTAGTTAATTATTGTGTCACAATGTATATGTTGATGTTTTTCTCAAGTCTATGAATAGGAAATTCCTTTGTTTAAAAAAAAAGCTTTAAAAAGCCAAAGTAGAAGTTTTAAAAATAATCTTTTTGAAGTATACCTTTATTTTTTTCATAATTCAGTGATTATCTTACAGTTAGTCAAGTAGTGCCTATGTTTTAAAAATTTTAATGATAAATAGAGTTGGAACAAGGCTGAACCTTTGTCATCATTTTTTTTCTTTAATTTAATTGTCCATAATTCAATTTCAAGTGAAAGTTGTTACCAGATAAAAATGCAGGTCTATAAATTAGCATTATATTTCAATATTATCAGCAGTTAAGTCATATCAGGTCAGTCTTTCCAATATTTTGTGGATTGAAATGAAACAGTATTAAGGTTAACTATCAAATAAGCAATGTTAAAATTGAACAGGGAGGGTCGGGGGTATAAGCAGGGGGTGGTGCTGGTAGTCACTTGAGGGATGCTTATAGATATGTCCTTTGGTTTTGAAAGCTCTTTTTCACTTTGGCTATCATAGGCTTTTGTAGGTATTCAGATGAGCTGATTCTCCTGAAAGGCATGGTCAGAAAGGTTTCAACATAGGTAGACATAGAATCTAGGTCATTTTCCTATTGGTCACATCGGCAGCTCATTCTTAAACACGTGTGATTTCTTGAATGAACTTTGGACCGTAAATATGAGATCCCAGATTCACCTGGGGCAGTTCAGAGAAACAGAGTAACAGGCAGAAATTGAACTGACTGCCCCCAAAGGCACAACGCAATCCATTACCCATTTCCCTTTTTTGAAATGCCTATTTCTCTTACTTTGGTGAATAAGCATCCCAACCCAATGTTTCTATGACTACCATAATTAATGCCCCATAAAAAACAAAAACAAAGAGAAAAAACTCTAGAGAGGCTAAAAAGTAGTTCTGTAAGTTTTTGCAACCCGATGCTTATTAGGTTGAGCAAACCATTTTCTGCCAAGTGAAATCAGTCCCACCTATAAATTCAGGAGGCTGAGGGTTTCCAGCCCTCTTCTTTCCCTGGAACACAAGTGAAGAATCCATTAGCAGAATAGTTTGAAACTGCTAATGGACAATATGTGTCTTGTGGAGGATCAAGAACATCATTACATTAAATAGCACTTACTTAGTAATGACTGCAAGTAATCCCTAAAGCAAAATGTCTGGGTGCTCAGGGGTTCAAAGAAAATGACATAATCTGTCACTAAGTATATCTACATATATCATAATTGCTTCTATTTCCCTAGACATGAAAAATAAAATGCTCTCCATATTTTCTTCTGTAGTATTACCTATGCATGAGAAAGGATGAGGAGCAGAATGTCTATACAGAAAGGAAAAGCCAGGAAAAAGGTAAACTTACAGAAAGCAGTATTTGGATGGCACTGTGGATGACCTCCAGGTACTGAAAGTCAATCACACAGCCCGTCACCGAGACATAAGTGTAGTCATCCATCATTCCATGAGCTGAAGGTGGTAGCACTCTCCGTACACAGCCTGGTCCATGTTCTCGCCACCAAGACCGGTGCACTGAGATGTTAAATGTCATTAGGTCGGTATCCTGGGTAGTGAAGGGAGAGGGGAAAGATCTTGTTATATTACCATCTCGAATTCAGTTCTGAGGAAGAAATGTAATTTCAGTGTTTAATTAAAAACAGCAGGGGGAAAAGTGAAATGATCAATTTGGATATGAGTTATTAACAACCCCCCCATGCATTCAATATTTAAGATATTGAACTATAGTTATCATTACTGAAACTAATTATTTGAGAGAGAAGTAATAAAATACCAAAATCACAACAAGTCAGGAATTAAAAGACTAGATCTTCTAGTTTTATTTTAAAAACAGTTTTCTACATGTGTATGCATGTTTGTGAAAGAGTGCATATGATAGTATATCCAAAGTATTGAGAGTTGTATCTTAACAAGCATACTGGAACTGATGCACTCAAATAATAACTCAAAGTAACACAGCACCTAACAGTACACAGAATATGTTTCTTATAACAACTCTATGAATATGGAAGGACTACTTTTATTATCCATGTTTTACAGAAGAGGAAATTGAGTTTTTGAGAAGTTAAATTATAAGCCAGTAACAAAACCACTGGTGAGTGGTGGAAGCTGGATTTGAACCCAGGTCTGAATCGAAATTCAGCTGTCTTCCAACTATTGTTGTTCAGTCCTTTCAGTTGTGTTCAACTCTTTGTGACCCCATTTGGAGTTTTCTTGGCAAAGATACTGCAGTGGTTTGTCATTTTCTTCTCCAGGTGATTTTACAGATGAAGAAACTGAGGCAAACAAAAAAGTAGCTTGCCTGGGATCACACAGCTAGCAAGTGTCTGAAGCCAGATTTGAACTCAGGAAGAAGAGTCTTCCTGATTCTAGGGCCATTAGTCTATCCACTGAGCTACCTAGCTGCCCACTTTTCCAACTATACCATGCCATTAAAAGTCTAAAACTATTTACCCTGTAAGGCTATATGATGCTCCCATACCTTATATATTTTTGGCACATAATTCTTCAGAGTTTCTTTCAAAATTTGCATCACAGTCTTCTGAATATTTTCAATGGTAGCAAATACTCCTCTTTTAAACATGGATTTGAATTGGAAACAAGCTAAAAAGCACCTGAAGGTGGTGTACTGCTGCATTAATAGAATATTTCTAGATGAAGAGAATAGTCCAACTGTGCTTTGCAACGATTAGATAGTATTTATAGTATTGTGTCCATTCAGGATATCGCAGTTAAAAGGGACATTGACAAACTGGAGCACATCCAAAGCATGATGCTTTAGATTGTGCATGTTCAATAAATCATGTCATATAAGAAATGGTTGAGGAAGATGAATCTGTTTAGCCAGAAATCTTGGACAGGAGTAAGCTCTTCTGCAGGATAATTTTCTTTAACCATTATAACTTTTGAACAAAGGAACTGACTGACTTCAGCAGCTTCAGTGGCAAGAGAGGAATTACCAGTTGCTTGGCTTTGTGGTCCAGGTGTGTCTTCATGAGATGTACAGAAATAAAATGCCCTTGGCCTCTAAAGAAAATGTTTCTAAGGGGTCTTCTGCTTCAATGTTACTCTGAGAGAAATAATTTCTTATCAATGTAAGAATAATCAATATAAGAATAAATAATTTCAATCAACATGAGTTACATTATCCACACCCACCTGTTTTCTCAACCTTTTATGGCTTGGATCTGTACCTTAAAATATAATGGCAAGTTTCCATGACCATGACAATGTCAATACATCAGAAGAAAGAAGGGGTATGACTAATATGAATTTAGTCTTAAGTGGAGAAGTTGCTTGAAAAAAGTCTTATTTTGCTGATATCCACTGTGGCCCTTTGGAGTATATTCACACTACCTCTGCGCTTACTCTCCACCATTGGACCTTTGCTGCTAGATCTCTTTCTCACATTTTTCTTAAGTCTTTGAATTTGGTTACCTCAAGAGATCTTAATACTAACAATAAAAACAGAAACATTTATATAGTGCTTTAAGCTTTGCAAAGCACTTTATCTCATCTGATCCTCAGAACAACCCTAAGACATAGGTAGTTGATACTAATATACCCATTTTGCAGATGAGGAAATTAAGGTTGACAAATCTCATCATATTGTTTAACTCAGCCTTGGATACTCAGCACCTTCTAACGCCCTCACTAAACTCCACCCAAAGCTTTCTTTTATAGGGGGCAGGACCCGGACTTCACAGATCACTCCACTTTCCATTTTCAGTTCTGCTTAGCCTGAACTCCATGAAACAAGAAGCCTCCTCTCCAGCTACACCCTAGTGTCCTTCCTTCCACACCCTATCAGTTTCCTTTTGTATGACGTCTTCCCCTATTTGATAGTAATCTCCTTGAGGGCAGGACTTTATTTGTCCCTTTATTTATATCCTCTGCACCTACCCATACCTGGTACAAAGTAGGTACTTAATAAATGTTTATTGAATTGAATTGAAAATTGAACAAAGGGTAAGTGACTTGCCCAGGATCACACAGATAGTAAATATCTAAGGCTAGATTTGAACTTGGGTCTTCTTGATTCCAGGTCCAACCTGATCGTTTGTTTGCTCTATCAGGTAGGTCTCAGAACAAATTTTATTTTCTCTGTAAGGTTCTTTTACTTAGGACTTAGTTGCCCCTAACCGATGGAATGTAGCAGGTTTTTCCCGAATGGCAGGGATTCAACAGTAAACATATTTTGTTTCAGCTTAATAGTTCATTGCTAAGGGCAAGTTTTGTGCTACAAAATGCATAAAGAGTAGATTAATACAAAGCTACATTTGGAATGTTTTTGTTTATCTTGTAAGCTACCATCTAAATCTAGATGGAAACGTTCAAGGCAATTTGAGAAACACTGAGACATTACCTGATTTTTAACACAACAGAATATACTCTCGTTATTGAATATTTTCCATTTTCACATACTGTGTAATGAAAAATGGGTTGTCTTATCCACTTTTCCTAATCTGCTTCAGAGCATCATCTTCATTAATTATTATGTCCCATTAAATATTTTTTTTTCCTGTAGTCTGTATATTAGGGGGACAGCTAGATGGCTCAGTAGATAGAGCTCTGGCCTTGGATTCAGGAGGACCTGAGTTAAAATCTGACCTCAGATGCTTGACACTTACTACTTACTGGCTGTGTGACCCGGGGCAAGTCACTTAATCCCTATTGCCTCCACAAAAGAGAAAAAAAAGTCTGTATATTAGAGAGTTTAAAAAAATAAAAAAATTTTTTTAAACTTTAAAAGCCAAAGAGAAAGTTTTAAAAATATTTGTTTTATCATAACTGTATTTTATCTTCATGATTTCATGATAATCTTACATCAAATTAAATAATGTGTATGTTTTAAAGTCTTTTAACAAATATTTACCATCTTTTCAACTTGACAATCTTTTTTAAAGTGATGAGACATAATAGTGATAGCCTGAATAAAGTTCCTTTCTGCAGATTCCTTTCCAACCAAGTGAGGTAAATATAGATGGACCCATTGTCTAGTACTTTATGTTGCAAATAATAGGTATGATCTTCTATTGTTGTGGCAGAAAATGTAGGTAGACTTAGGAATAGTTAGAACTACTATGAGGTGTCTTTCATAATCAGGAAGTTTCCCATCTGTAACAATCCTACAAAATCCATATGGATTCTTGACCTAAGTTTTCTGGTCATCTCCCAGCAACAGATGAACTTTCCTTGCTTAAAGTCCTCATTCCATTCTATTTCAACCCTTCCTATTCTACTCTAGACAGCATGGTTTAAACAGACAGCTTGGTTTGGTTGATAGAGTCCAAGTCCCTGCTCAGACCTCTTTAAAATTGGGATAACAACAGTATCTGCCTCATAGAATTGTGGTGAACATTAAACAAGACACTTTAAGTAGAGCCCTTTTCTAAATGTTGAAGTGTTATATAAATGTGAAATATTATCATCATCTCTTGTAGCATACATATGATTATGTATACATAATCGGCAGGTAGGTGGCTCAGTGGATAGAGTACAGAGCCTGGGGTCCTGTATCCCCAGAACCTAACGTTGTGCATGGCATAGAGTAGGCACTCAGTAAGTTTTTGATTGACAAGGATTCATCCTGCTTCTGCTTGAACCAGCACTGAGCAGGGCACGTTTTTCCCAAAGTCAGCATTAATTACATGCTTGTGGAAGGGAAAGGAATTGAACTGTACTGTATTGCATTGCACTGAAGACTGGAGGTGTTCATGAATTATGTTGAATGACTTGTCATATACTTTGCTCCTTTGTAGAGGCTGCAATAATAGAACAAATTTTCAGCTCACAAGACATAGCTTCCAGGCAAGCTTTCCTGACTGGAGGTGCTCAGTTCTCATTAGGATGCTTCCTTGAGGTTCATCTTGGAGGAAAGAAGACTAGAGGATTTGGGTCAAGTCAGAAGACTTCAGGGAGCCCCTCATGCCCTTTCTTAGGACAAGAAGGATTTTCTAGAGTTTTTCAGGCTCTGGATGTGAGATTTATTCAGTTCAGGAGGCAGCTGGTGGCACAACGGACAGAGAGCTGAGCTCGGACTCAGGAAGACCCCAGTTCAAATCTGGCCTCAGAAACTTAGCAGTAAGTGATTTGGGCATCACTTAACCTCTGTCTATCCAATTTTCCTCAGCTATAAATGGGGATCATAAGAGCACCTACCCCACAGAGTTGTGAAGGACAAATGAAATAATATTTGTAAAATGCTTAACACAGTGTCTGGCACAAAGCAGGTTCTTAATAAATGCTTACACCTTTACATCCCCTCAGCAAATATAAATGTACAATAAGGAAATACAAATGTAAAGCAATCAACTAGTATTTATTTATTACATATTTACTAGGTGCTAGGCACTATGTGAGGCACTTGGAACACAAAAATATAAAAAAAAATAGCTCCTGCCCTCAAGGAGTTTATATTCTACTGGGAGCTAAAACACATACATATATTTCAGTTGTTCAGTCATTTTTCAGTCATGTCCAACTCTCTGTGACCCCATTTGGGGTTTTCTTGACAAAGATACTGGAGTGGTTTGCCATTTCCTT